AGATTATAGAATGCATTAGAGCTTCGGCTGCTAAGGCTACTATATTACGTGATTTGTGCTGTATTGCGTCTTCATGTTCTCTGGATAGACTTGAGGCCCTGATCTTCACTAGGAGTTGATAAAATTGAAAAATGGTTCACCTTTTTTCCCCTTTTATTTGTTGTGGTCAACTTTGCACCCAGTTTATGACAGTTGATATTTGTTAGCAACATGATTTTCCCTCTCAATCTGAAGTCAGATACTGTTTGTTGCTTTTGGGGTTTTAGATTTTGAATTAGTTTGCTGAGATTATAATGTTAGAACATGACAATAATGCTCTTTTTCTTGGAATTGTATGGAAGGTATATAAGGATATTGGTCTTTCTAAATTATGAAACATAACATTGAACATACAACGTAGAAATCATGACTAACAAAATGGACAGAGTGAATTAAGATAGATTCATGCATTCTCAAAGTTGGTTGCATGTTAGATTTAATGTTAAGTTTCATTGGCTAGCTGGATGCTGAGCTGATTCAACGAAGTTTGGACCATTGTCCCTTCAATAACATTCAAGAAGGTCCACTTGCCTGCTTCTTAGAAATCAAATGGGTTTCACATCTCTGCAACTTTTAATTTCCTGCAGTGGAAAGTGGAACACGATGGTGTAAACATATATCCATTATCCTTGTACCTCCTAGATTTCCCTGATCAACTAGACATTATAACAGGAGCTATTGAGAGTTTAACAATTTTGTTGTGTTGGTCAATCAATCTTTTATACCTACTGGTGTTATGTGCATTTAGATAAAAAATGGTTGAATGTGATTGACCTTTGGCTTTGTGTCTGACAGGGTGCTTTTGGGAAAAACGCACTGGTTGCTTTTGGTTTAGCCACATACACTTTGCTGGGACTCGGAGTGGTATGTCATCTCTTTAATTTCCATATTTGATCAATAGACTTTAGAATCTGATTAAGTGCTCATGGCGCTTTGTTTATGAATAGATGAAAAGACCAAGTTTCCACTGGTTCATTATGTTTCATCAAAATTTCAGACAATTATTGAGAAAATTTTGTAACCTTTATGTTCCTGCTTGGCCTTTCCTTTCTTCTTTGTTTCAAATTGTCATGTGAAGGTATCTGTTTAGTGCATAAGCCCACTGGGCTCTCAGAACTTCATTCCACAAGCATCTTGATGGAGGGAAAAAAAAAAAAGAGCCCCACATAATGACTGTGGATGTGGTGAGCATTATTAATACAGTATTATTCTTTCACAAAAGGATTCTATATCACTTCTTTAGCTTTTATTTCATTGTATACCTTCAAATATCATCCTATACTTCTTCGAAATGAACTTGGTATTGTCTTGAATCTAAAATTGCCAAGTGAATACTTTCCTCCAAGAAAAAGCAAAATTAGTTTTTAGAACTGCATGAATCTTAAGTACCTTTTGATACAATTTACATTAGAAGAAATCAACAAAATGTAATATGAAGTTCTCTTATTTCCATTGTGCTTACTAAGGGGTTAGATGCTCTAATTTTCTATTGTTCTTTCTCTTCCTCCGCTTTCTTCTTGTTTCCAGAAAGCTCTTAAGCTCTGTTTGCATTTGCAAACATTACTGGGAATATGCGCAGGGTATTGAAAACTCAGCTCTTCAGTGTTCACTGTGTAGCTCACCTCATAGTGTCTGCTGCCCATTAATGGTGGAACAGCTTCACTTGTTCACTTGTTCTTCTTGTTCTTTTAAGGGTTGTCCTGGAACAGCGATATTCAGATAGAGCCTTAACTTTCTCCTTTTCAGTGGCTCTGTAGAATGACTATATTTTCTTGATACCTGTTTCTGAATCTACTTTCAGCTTGGTGGTCCTTTATCACTTCCTTGGGGGTTATATGTGCTGATCTGTCAGGTATGTGAAGCCTGGAAAAAGTATATTAATAAGCAGTCTGTTGTAAGCTGAAATTCATTTCAAGAATGAAGGACCATGTGCATAAACTTCAGTCTAATGAGCAACTCTGGCATTTGCAGAGAACTCCAGAGAAACCATGCTTGAATGATGTCACAGAGGTTGGAAATTGGAGAAGAGCGATTCTGTCAGTAGCAATTTTCCTAGTAGTCTTGACGCTTCTTCCAGTATGGGATGAGCTTGCAGAGGAGCTGGGCATAGGTCTCGTAACCACATTTTGATGGAAAGTGGTAAAAGCAATTTTGAGTTTAACATTTGAGGAACCTTATTGATATGATGGCTCGGACAAGTCATTCTATCACAGTTTTTTCCTCATGTATTAGGTTCTGGAATTGTATTGTATATATACTTGTGTACAGAACGATTCTAAGGCATATCAATCTTGAAAGTGAAGATCCCTTTCATTTTTCCTCTTGTTTTCCTACTTTCGGTTTTAAACCATGTAATTGCTTGAGAAAGGAAAATAGCTCATATCCAAGGATTTTGTTGTCTTAAAATCAAGGGTTCTCTTTTGTCCTACTGCGTGTTGCCCTCCTTCCACCACCTAATTTTTTGTAAGAAATCATCTTTTGATACGTTTTTCATTGATTAGATAGGAGGGCGAATATAATCAATTTTCTCCCCGAGGGGAACTGATGATTTCAAATTGCTTCATTTAGGGCACTTTATAATCATCTTAAATAGGCCATGGGCCAATGTTTAACTACTCCATTGCAGAAAATTATGGGAAAATGGCACTAGGTTCTTCGCTTTGAAAGATTCTTGGTAATTTGGTTTGAACTCTTGAATATAAAAGATTTGTTTGATAAAACTAATGTTTGAAATATGAATTTTGAATTCAGAAAATTAAGTGCTAAAAGTATTAAGTTGATGAACTGTTTAAGTAATATGTGTTTGATAACTAACTGAATTATAATAATGGGCTGAAATATCACACAAATGTTGTGCTTTTATTTTTTTTTTTTAAAAAACTGTCTCTATTTGTGTATTTGGAGAAAAAGAGAAATGCGCATGTGTGGGTGAGGGAGAGAAAATAATGAAATGATTTAAAGATGGTGTTTAAATATGAGTATTTGTGTGTGAGAGCGTGTGTGCATGCATGTGTGTTTGTGTATGTGGCGAATATAAAGAAAATAAATGTGTATTGTGTGCGAGATTAGTATGAGAGTGTGTTATGCGTGTGCGTGAGGTATAACATGTATAGTCAATTCAAAAGATTTAGTGAAAAATTTTCACCTAAAATTTTGTATACAAATTAAGCAATGCTTAATATGTTAAGTAATAAGGTATTTCTGTTAATGAATTATTTTCAGTATCAGGAAAAGCTATCAAACAGACCCATGATCTCAGCAAAATCGTATGTCCTCATGGGTGAATTTCTTGAGATATTACTGATTTCAAAAAATGTCTCAAAAGTGGCATTACTTTAGGATTTGTGCTAAACTTAAATATTCATTTATTTTCCATTGTTTTGGTCGCCATAAAAAGGACCAAATGGAAATTTTTTTTTTTTTGGGCAAAAAAGGTTCACCTCATGTCATATAGCATGTGGCGAAGGAAAACAAATTTTTAGAATGCTGAATCCTTTTTAAAATTTAAAATAAAAATTTTTAATGTTTGTTATTAGCAATCCCTAAACCCTAATTTATCAACCCTAAATGCTAAACCCTAATTTATCTGGGACCATGCTATGCTTTAAAACAAAAGTTATGTTAAAAATTTGCTATATTTTTCCATCATAACCGGTGATCAATCTTCGATAAATGGCTACAAGTGAGATTTAGGTTCCATTTTAAAATATAATAATTAATTTAAATTGAAATATGCCGAAGTCATATCCTATTTTGAATTTTTTTCATTTTACGAATAATTTAAGGTACGATAAATAATGTAGCATCTAACCCTAAATGTCTAATATAACTAAATAAAAAGTATTATCATAGTTTAAAGCACGAGGTTTGATAACAAAACATATCTTGAAATCTGAATCACCCGTCAATGCGCTTCTTGCTCTTATCGCGTGGAGTGGCAGAGCAACCGTATTTCCAACACATTCTCTAGTGCGGTAGATCTTGCTGTAGTTGTAGCCATTCGAACCTTCTAAATAGTGCTTGCACTCCCTTAGGCATTTGTTCATCCTCATCATCAATGGAGTCTACCATGGGAGTCTGATTGCATCTGGGATAGAAATAATCTGTAGATGTAGTGGATGGAGTTTCACGGGGAACGGTGTCTGCGTCTATCTAAAAAATAGGTGAAAAGTCCAATGAGAATCCTAAGAAGTTGTAAGTACAAGCAAGGTCATCATCAAACTCATTATTAATCCCAAATGACAGGAGTAACAAAACAGAGAACGATCTAACACCTACCGTATAGTCGAATGCGAGTATAGGAGTAGTTGTCACAAGAAAATAACCTCTGAAGGCTAGAACACGGAGGTGTAAAGAAAACTCCAGGATGAAAAATTTGAGTGACAATGGTAAAGTTGTGTCAGGCATTTATTGAAGTCTGAGTAGCCTGTATAACAGGCACATCATCATCCTGTAATGAGATGCCCTTCCTACGATGCTTACCTCCCTGGTTCCTATCACGCACTTGTCTAGATAGATGTTCGACAAGCATCTCGAAAAGGGTCGTATAAGAGGTAAATGTACCAACATCCTAATAGTCAAAGGATCCAATGGGCATCTGTATTCCCTGATTCAAGTATTGTAATGTTTCAAAAGCCTCATTTCATATCGATGTTAGACCAGGATGTGTACACTAAGTAGGATTAGGTGGATTGAAGTACCTATTGTAGATTGAGTCGATTCGAGATACGGTATCAACCTATTGAAAGAAAAATTTGTATATTACAGTAATTTAATTTATATATACCATATAGTTAGAAGAAAATAAAAAATATGTAATAATTTACCAAGTCAGCGCACTGTCCCCTATTTTCTCAATGTCCATCACGTTGGGGTTACTGCGAAATAGGCGTAATGAAGCGGATTGTACGATTATAGTACCATGTCATGTACTCCTCCATAGACCTGAGCAGATCGCGACGATGGCCTCGAACATATGCACCAACACAATGCTCTTAGTATTCAATCCGACGACTATGGTACTGGCTGATTCCTTCCCGACGCGACCTGACCGGAATAGAGAATGTAATATTTAGTCAGTGTCAACATCGTGGGGTATGGGTAGATGCATCCCATACTACCATAGTACTCACTGTGGAAAGTGAAATTCGACAACCTCCTAATATATCAACAGAACAACTGACCGCTAGATATGTCAATCGGCAAAGCAATAGGTGGAAAGATGTTCAACAAGGTCATCAGAATAAAGCTCCCATATAAACTATGCCAATTAGGAAGTGGAGTTAGTCACGAAAGGAAATCAAATTGACTCTACAATAACAATATTTATTAATGGAATGCCTCCTCAATATCCATCTTGATAAGTTAATCGCAAAAGGATGACACAACATGCGATGTCACATATTTTGTCATAAGGTTGTGGCCCATCAACCCCGTCTAGGAAATTCATTTCCCTATACAGCAGGAACCAGTATTATGGGGTGAATTGTGGGCATTGTCTCCCATGCCCATAATTGTTACGAAAGGATAAATTGTCCAAGTCATATTATTTAGGTATTACAGTGAAATTAGGACATTCCGAAATTCAAAAGCTATGCATTCTCACCTGTAAAAGTATATATGGGCCTGCAGTGTAGCTCGTGGATACATGTGATGCTTTGCAGGAACGGAAATATAAACATGCAAGTGTGGCATTGTTCCAATTGTACTGGCTTATACCCTCTATGTCTCAGATGTAATCTAACCTATGGCAACTGACAACATTGTCGCATGTATCGGTAAAAAATTGTCCTCCAAATAAGATCAATATGTAGCACCGAATATGCTGATGGGCTAATTCTTTCGATGCATCATTTGGAAGAGACTCATACAAAATCTCCAATATGAGTACAAGTTTCAACCTCTCACTCTTAATGTGTCGGGTATCGGGCTTGAACCCTAAAAAAATTACTAAATACTATTAATTAATCAACTTCGACTTAACTGTCAGTTATGCACAACATTAAAACATCAAATCCGTTGCAATTAAAGTTTTAAGTTGTACCTGTTTTGCCAAATGTGACGGAAGTTCAACTTCTTACTCTGGACTTTCACTTATGCTGAGAGGGAAGACAACGATTGCTCAGTCGACAATCCTTTTGAAACCCGTTGTTTTCAACTTAAAAGACACAAGCGAGTTGGAAACACTGCTTTCGGAAGACACTGGCGGCCACAATCCACAAATGGGGAAGAAGAATTCAGGACAATTCTTAGGATATGGGATGGACAATCCACAAATGAGGATGGGCGATAGAGAGAAATGGTGTTGGTACGAGAGAAATGGATGAATTTAACAACCTATTTATAGTAGAAAATTTCTTCGTTTGTAATGATAGGTTCACATCATTTTGTATCAAACCGTTGATCTGCTTAAAATCAACAGCTAAAATTGATCATATTAAATAAAATATATTTTGTCGGTAGAGTATTGGACAATCATTATTGATTAACGGTCATCCCACTTTGCCACATCTAGCAAATCCAGATGTCGCATCCAGCTATTGAAAACATTCAAAAAAAATTCACCTGCAAATTAAAAAACCAACCGTTGATCGACAGTTGATCAACAGTCGTCAAGGTTTCGCCACATCCATATCTGACACTTCCAGTCACTGCTAATGGTAGCGGTGACTGAAAATACTTTTTTAAAAAAATTGTTAACCAAATACTTGCTTTGTTCTGATATAAGAAAAAAAAACCTAAAATAAATTTAATTTTGTTGTACACTGCATTTCTCAATTGCGACGGCCCTAATTTGGGAATAAATTCCCACACAACACCAAATTTGTGATGTTTTGGTATATTAGCAATATTTTGAGAATTTCACCATTCTCATGGGTACATTAATCTATTTATGACAATAGGCTCTGTACTTGTGCACCTCCCACCAAACTAGCAATTGTTTTAAAATTTTTCTTAGTATCACCAAAACGTGAGAAAACCTTTAAAAATTAAAAATAGTAAATATGGCCTTTCTCCTAAGGTATGCGACTTTGAATAGATCATTAGAAAATGAAAATCAAGCACATTAAGTTAAGAAAAAGTTAAATCAATTCATCAATCGAAATATATTGTCTTTAAAAGAAAAATCAATTAACTACTTCATCCTTATTTTGCAAGTTAAGCATTTAAAGCTTCGAAGATATTACAATGTAAATCAAGAATTAGACTGTGACACAGGACAATGGCAAGTGAATGCTATATTTTGATTTAAGTACTAAATTTTCCGAGGGTACATTTGCACATGGAATGGATATTTCCATTAGAAAATGCACAGTAATTTCTTGTAAGAGTGACTTTAATTTGTAATTATTGAATTAAGACATGTAAGGAAAAGTTAAAATTTCTTGGATATGTATAACGATTTGTCTTTATAATTTGTGCTGCTGCTTGGAATAATATATCAATATGGGAATTAGAGGCAACCCTTTCTAAGTTTTATTTTCTTTTAATGTTGAATTATGAGGGAAGTAGTGAATTGAGAATAGAATTCACCACAAAAAATGTGTCATCCTATGAAAACAAGAAGGGTTCGGTTAACACTCGTCAATAGAGATCTTTGGTGTTAACTTTTTTAGTAAAACTGAAATTAAATTGAAAAAATATCTAAATGTAGGGGTAGAATAATGTGTGTGTGTGCATTCACATAGTATGTTAAGTGTGATAAGAGGGACATTGGGTGTTAAATTTGTTGGAAGTGAAACTATTTTGGAAAAATGTTTAAAACCTCATTTGGGAATGCGGTAACTTATAAAGAAACACTCCTGATACAAGTACTTTTAACAAAAGTACTTTTGAATTATCAAAAGTTGTGCTCCTTAAGTTATGAAAAATTAGTTACCAAATATTTCAAAAGTACATTTAATGTTTAAAAGCATTTTTTTTAAACATACCGCAATCACAAATGGGGGCCTAAATATAGGATTATAATAAATATGAGTGTGTGTATTCATTAAGTATAATTTAGGTGTACTAATAAGAGACACCCATTAGAAAAATAAAAAAAAAGAATCATGGATTCCAATAATAGTATAGTACATGGAGGATAAGTTTAGGTTACCTTTTAAAAAGCTCTAACGAGAATGAGTAAATAATTATAGAAAAATATTTGGATTTTTTCTTTTTTTTTATAGAAAAGATCTTTCATTTAATAAATTTGCATTGATGGCAGAAATACATCAAATCAAACAAGACACAGATAAATATAGATCTAAAATCAATACGTATAACAGATTTGAAAAATCAATACAAATAAAGATAGGCTCCAACACATCTTCCATCTAGTTGAATCATTGCAACTTCAGAGATCTGTGCATGTCTTTTAATAATTAGATCAGATTAAAAGTTGGTTCAAGTCCAAAGAGAAGTTTAGATCTGATAATAATAAAAAAAGAATTTACAGATTTTAGAAACTAGATCTACAAAATCTCAAATTCATAGAAAAATATAAAACTAAAACAAAACTCTCACAAAGAACTTTAGGAGAGAATAAAACTCTTATAAAAACAATCTAGGAGAGAAAAACTCTCATTAAGAGATTCTAAGAGAAAAGAATCTCTCACTAGGAAACTTTAGAAGAGAATTTATTCCTACAAGAAAAACTAAAGAACTAGAGAGAGGGTTCCCTTCCATGGGAAAAGACTAGATTTGTCCGGTCTCTCTCCCACGGGTAAGTTAGAAAAGATTTTTGATTGAAGGAGTTCTAAAAAGAATGAGGAGAAAATAAGGAGTTCTAGGAAAAATGAGGCGAAAATAGTTCTAGAGAGACACTGTGATTTATATTCTTTTTTTATGAAGCAACAGTAACAATCTATCGTACTCCTACACTACTCCTATATTATAGAGGAGGAGGGTCCAAAGGGATGTATATAGGGTAGTGCTTCCTTGTGATGCATTAGGCGAGGTCTGAACCCCCGATCTAGTATACAGGAAAGTTTTAAAGAGACTCTTGCTAGCTATTCGACCAAGATCCAATGGTTTCCTTTGACTAGTTAACTATATGTTTTTTCAATAGTGAGGATGATTTCATTTTTTTTTCTTTTGATACATAAAAGAAGAAGTTGGGTCAACCTAGTAGTAGATGGATTGTGTCCTGAATTGAGTTCTCTTAAAATTGCATATTAGAATTACATATTGTCCCTATTGGCCAGAGTAGAGAACGGCCAGAGTAGAGTTCTCTTAAAAGTCACATATTGTGCCCTCCATTAGAGTATGAAATAAATCTTAGGGTTAATGACAAAGGCACCTTTTGGATTGAAGGAAAGGAAAGGAAAGGAAAGGACACCAATGGAAAAGAAAGAAAAAGAGTGTGGAAGAAAGTGGTTTCCATCCATCTTTTTTGAATTAAGTATGGAAGGAAAAAAAAGAAAATACTAAATTTTTGTTTGGATTGAAAAAGGAGAAGAAAGGAAAGGAAAAGATCAAATGTTAATTTACTAGAAAAGATCGGAAAAAATTGATCCTTTAAAAAAATAAATTATTTCAATAAATTTAGTTCATTTTCCTCGGTTTCCATCCAATTTTGGGCGAAAACCATGATTCAACAAAACAACTAGACCCTCTCCCTCCCTCTTCCTCTCTATCCTTCCCCTCTTCAAAAATCAAACCAAACAACAAAAACTAAATCCCTCTGATTCCCCCTCTTTCCTTTCCCTCTCATTCCCTCAATCCAAACCATGTCAAAAACTCTCCTTAAGTTTTAACCAGTTTTGCACTTTACACCTCAATGTTATTTTTTTCTCACTTTATCCCCTAAACTATTAGTCAACTCTAATTTTATATAACGAAAATGTCAAAAAGGCATTTATACCCCTAAAGTTTAACTCCAATAAATCCCTTTAATGTATAGCATGTTTTGCACTTTATCCTCTAATATAATTTTTCTCTTAATTTGTCTATTTATCCCTAAAATCACTCAAGACATATAATACATTAAAATATCAGTATCCGTAACATAATAATCGTATCTCTATAATTATAGGTTTTTAGATGGAGGAAATACCCCACTAATTTTACATGGTATGGAGAAAAACAAAAATTATTAGTTAAAAAACTATAAAAGTACTATTAAAGGTCTCTAGATTGGGTATGTTTGGATTGAATATTATTTGGACTTTTTAAAAAAATAATATTGCAATACTTTTTGCAATTTGATGTTTGTGAAATGAAAAGGTGGTTGAAAAAAAAATAAATGGATGATTGAGAAATATGCTTATGATGCAACAAAAAAATTTTCAAAAAAATTTAAAGAACTAACCAATTGTTAATAGCATCTAATCATGCTATATTTAAAAAATCACCCTTGAAACTTAGAATCCCAAAGGGATAATTTTAGAAATCTCCCATAACGTTTTTTAAAGTTTTAAAAATGACTTACCCCCCTTATTTTTGAATTTTTGTAACATTGCAATCAAGTTCAAATTATATCATTAAAATACTATGTTTAGGAAAGAGAAAGTTATTTCATTCCAAAGTTACCCTTTTAATTCATTCCAAATTTGTAATGACAAATAAATTATAATCCTTTCATTTTTGAAAACCTGATGGATATATTTTTTAGTAAAAAAAATTATAAGTTTAGAGTTGAGAAATACTTTAACAAATCTTATCAATAATTGGAAGACAATATTTAAGCTGACAAATCATAAATAATTAACAAAGTATGTAAAAACTATTTGAAATATTGTGAAGATATGGAAAATAACTTTTTTCATCTTCTAAACATCTCAAATAAATTCTAAAAGTAATTTAAAATGTTTTACTTTTTCTAAATTTTAAATTCATCTATTCAAATAAATAAAAACTAAAGATTCTAAACAGTTCATAAAATTTATTAAATTCAATCAAAATTGTTTACATAAAAAGAAAGATTTTTCTCATTTGATAATCTAAGGGCATGTGATAAACATATGGATAATTAAAGTTTGGACAAATACTGAAGTTTTTAAATTATAACTAGCCTCCTAAATAGCAAAAATTTTGTAAAAGAAATCTACATTTTTTTCAAAAAAATAATAACAATAATATCTTGTTTATTTCTTACTATGTGACCTTAGAGTACCAAATAGACAAACCTTGAACAAAAAATTACTTTGTAATTTGAAAACATGTTAAATAAAATATTATTACTTGTTTGTACTTTAAAAAAGCATATTGTTTATGGTTGCAATTATTATATGTTGTTTCTTTAAAAGAAGAACATCTTCATGCTTTTTGTCCATATTTTTAACAGATAACTATTATACTTACAATTAAAAAATGAGAAATTTGCCAAATTAGTCCCTAACATTTACCAAAAACACTTTTTTAGTCCCTAACATATAAAATCAGCCAAAATTGTCTCTCACATTTAAATTGTGATCCAATTTGGTCATAATGCTTGTTTTTGCTCATTTCTCTGGCTACAAATAGCATGCCTCTCTCACGTGGTCATATTTTTAGGGGCAAAACCTGAAAACACATTTCATTACCGGTTGAAAGTAAAAGGATAGGGGACCACCACCCTCTTTTCACCTTTCCCCCTCAAATTACAGTTTCAAGAAACCCTAAATTGCATCCCTTAGCGATGATGATGATGACGACAAAGCTGTAGAGTGTGACGGCTTGCGTACTTGGGGACATGGCATCTCATCCTAATTTCGGCCTTAATGAACTGGATTTCGTTTTCTCCACCCTCGTCGTCGGCTCCATTCTCAATTTCCTGCTCATGTATCTCCTGGCACCCACTGCGGGGGCTAGGGGCGCTCCTTCTTCTGGCCGCCTCCCCTCCATCTTCGCCGCCTGTCCTCCCAGCCACATGTTCGAGCTAGGGGCTTACGGCATGTTCAGTCGGATGGGGACTTTTGTGTACAAAGGCGCCCTCTTTGCAGCCGTGGGCTTCGCCGCCGAACTCGTGGGAACTGCCATCTCCAATGCCCTGATCAAGATAAGGAAGAAGAAGGATCCCAATTTCCAGACCCCCAACAAGCCTCCTCCGATGCCTTTGAACGCTCTCACCTGGGGCGTCCACATGGGCGTTAGCAGCAACTTCAGATACCAAGCCCTCAACGGCATCAAGTTTCTGCTTGCCAAGGGCCTTCCCTCTTTTCTCTTCAAAAGCTCCATCGTCGTTTGGAGGTGCTTAAACAATGTCCTTGGAGGGATGTCTTTTGTCGTACTGGCCAAGTTAACAGGATCACAGGCTGCTGCTGCTCCTCCTCCGTCTTCCGCTGCTGCTGAGCTGGAACAACAACAACTAGTCAAGGAGGAGGTGGGTGTCCGGGAAGGTGGTGCTACAGCTGGAGATGTTTTGTCTGCTGACAAAGTCAAGTTGGTTAATGACGGAACAGGAACAGGAGCAAAACAATACTAGTATTAGTACAAATACTAATAATAATGTGTCTGCTTCTTTCTAAGTGAATTTTTTTTAGCTGCAAAACACATGTCGTCGTCATCATCGTCACTAACATTTCCAAGTTATGCTTGTTAATTAGGGGATGCAATTTAGTTCTTGAAACTGTAATTTGAGGGGGAAAGGTGAAAAGGGGGTGGTGGTCCCCTATCCCTTTACTTTCAAACGGTAATGAAATGTATTTTCCGGTTTTGCCCTAAAAATATGACCACGTGAGAGAGGCGTGCTATTTTTAGTCGGAGAAATGAGCAAAAACGAGCATTAGGACCAAATTGGATCACAATTTAAATGTGAGGGACAATTTTGGCTGATTTTATATGTTAGGGATTAAAAAAGTATTTTTGGTAAATGTTATGGACCAATTTGGCAAATTTCCCTTAAAAAAATTAAGGCAATGAAAGGGCATTACTGGAAAGAAATTATTTCTCTTTTCTAAAATGAGTATTTAAATCATATAATTTGAATTAGGTTGAGAATGTTACAAAAATTTGAAAATAGGGGAGGTAAGTGATATTATTAAAACTTTTAGAGTGCTAAGTGAGATTATTAGAAACCTCAGGGGAGGGAGGCTTATGAAATTACCCCTATAAAGAAAATATCTAGCTGTTAAAAGAAAAGTGCAACCATATGCACATTCATAAAGAGAAACTAATAATGTTGGATCTTTTTTAGAATTTTTATAATAATTTCACATATTAATTTTTTAATAACAAATTTTTTCATTATAATTTGAAATTAGCATGATATATCTCTCAATCTAAAAAAAATATAATTATGGGATGAAATTTAACTAGGACTATATCTATAAATATATTATTTTTTTCATTATCATGTTAGGGATATTGGATCTTTGAGACATTATTTATCCTAGGTGTTATAAAATATTGGGATTGACTAACGATTTCAGTGACAAATAGACAAATTGGAAAAAGAATTAGGGGAGGAAGGTTAAATTGGGTGGTAAGGTGGGAGGACTTATAAATAGGAAATCTTGGATTCAAAACCACTCACTTAAAAAAAATGATGTTAGGGGATAAAGTGTAAAATAAGTTAGAAGAATTACTGCATTTAACTATTAAGGGTATAAATGTCTTTTTCACATTATCATTACACAATGTTAGAGTCAACTAACGGTTTAGAGAATAAAATCAGATAAAAATAACGTTAAGAGACAAAGTGCAAAAATAGATATAGCTTATGGGGAGTTTTTGTAATTAAACATAAATCTTATATGCCATGATTTGCCATCACTAGCTTGAATAGAGTTCTTATAGAGAGGGATGGATTGGGTAGTACGGAAGGAAGGGAGTGTAAGTAAGACATTCTAGATTTGAAACTTCTCACTTACACTAAAAAAGTTTTTATGAAAATTACTTATCGTACCCTCCATTGGAGTGTGAAATAAATCTTATATATCATGACTATATTTGGTAACTTGACAGAGAGTAAAATAAAATAAAAAGGTAGCAACAACCTCCAATTTTCAATGTATTTTTAAAGATTAATCTTCTATACATTGATACTATATATACTATCATGATTGGATGCATATCACGTATACAAATTTTGAATTTAAAATTCAATTTTGATTAATTGACATACATTCAACCATGATATTGTATACACCGACTGCATCTAGAAAATTAGTTGATCTTTTAACTTGCAAATTGACACTTATTCTATTATTAATAAAGTGGTAGTATTTGAACTTTAAACAAATAACTCCTTGCCTTCTTTCTTCTTCAACAGATGAACACCAAAAGCTTTTCCAGTCTAGCTTTTCTTAGATTTCAACTTATTCCTCTATTATATAAACTAAAAACAAAGACTATTTTGGTGTTCCAGTCTAGCTTTTCCAAAGAGATTTATTCTTTTTTGTGCTTCCACTAGGAACATTTTCTAACCTTGTCGTTGGGTCAAACAACACAACAATTTACAATAGAAGGTGCGAAAGGAGGCGACGGAGTTAGGGGGGTAGAGATTGTGAGAACCCGTAAAAACCCTAATCTTTTCCGAGGGTTTTATTTCCTTTAATAGCATGTTTTCTGCATTTCCTGGCTTAGGAAATTTTCCTGAGGAATTTTATGAGTAATTATAGTTTTTAGATGATTTTTCTAGTATTGGAGAGTTTTTGAAAAATTAAGAATATATATTGGACGTGGGACCCACTAGTGCGAAAAGTTCGGAAAAATTCGGCCAATAAGGTTAAGTTTTGGATACTGTGTAAAATTTATCGGGTGTTAAGAGATAAGTAGAGGATGTGAAGTGATTGATGTGAGAGGAAAAGAAGAGATAGGAATGTATTTATGGAAGTGACAAGTGTCACATAGCCATTGGTTGGACTTGGTGAACACTATTCATGCTTTTTGACTTTTGACCACATTGAGTAAATATCTCCAAAAATCACCAAAATTCACCATTTTCTTTCTCCTTGGTGGCCGGCTCTCCTAAGCTCAAGAAGGAAGGAAAACTCTTCAAGTTTTAGCTACCAATTAGTGCAAATCACCCAAAATATTTGCTTGATTGTGTTTCTACTCCATAAAATCCTTCCACTTGGTGCTAGTGAGTGCTTTAGTGAAGTTTTTTGGAAGAGTTAAGGTGTCCAACATCTATACCTCTCTTGGTTACTAGGTGAGTGGTGTGTGAATTCCCTCTTACACTTAATGAAGCTTAAGTTATGCTTGGTAGTGGCTAAAGTGATGATATTTGTGGTTTATTTCTTGGTTTGAAGTGATTTGGTGAAGTTTTTATTTTTTTGAGGAATTTTCTGGTTTAATATGAATGTGATGTTGTGGTCATCTATGATGGTTGATAATGAGGGGTAATGACTCTAGTAGGTGTGAATTAGTGATAATTACAACCAATTTTGGGTTTGGATTGAAATGAGAAAAGTTAGGGTTTCATAACCCCCTTTTCTGTCCGGCTTTGGATCATAGGGTTAGAGGCCGAATTGGCTTTTACTCAAAACATGAAAGTTGTAGGTATTGATGAGTTTGAGGTACCTGTAAAATTTCAGGTCATTTGGAGTAGTGTAGAGTGAGATATGTCGATTTTACTGTTGCTGTTCTGGGTTGATCAGGATGGCAGAACTGCACTTGTATTTGGCTATTTTGACTGGAATTGCTTTGGATTTGGATGTTGGTGTCTTCTGATGAAATGTAGCGGGATGTCTTAGCTACCATAGGCCTTTGGAATCAATGCATTTGGACCTGTATAGACTGAGTTGTACGAATTACAGCATAGTGTGATTTGTAAACCTGCAATTACGGTTTTGGTTTGGTATTCTGCATTTTTGACCTAGTTGTGCTAGGATTTGGACTGAGTGGCCTTCTACATTATTGTAGCCCTGTCTTTTAGCTTCGAGATGGTGCATTTTACACCCTCATCCGATAAGCGTAGCGCATTTTGTACCATTACCGCATTAGGAGGCCAAAACTGTTTTGTTGTTGGGTCAAATGAGTTACATTTCCTGATTTTCTGGTTTGCTATAATGCTTGTATATGTTTGTAAAACCCTATTGGGGTTGTGATTGGCATTGCTTTATGACTCGTTATCGAGTCTCATTGTACTTGCTTACGTGTTCTAGGGCGTGACGGTGGTTCACGACATTCTCCTGACGGAAGTGCATGAAATAGCACTTAATTGATTGGTGAGTATACTACTCACTTGAATGTTACAATGTGGCTTTGCTATATGTGATTTTGATGCCTTGAAGGCTTATTTGGCTATTGGAATTGATTGAGGTGAGGGTGTACTTGACCGCCCTCACCCCTTGTGATACCGTTAATGACTGTTTACCGCTTCACTGATATACTGCACTTGCTATATGAGATATTGAATTCACTTCATGAAAAACTGATTTGGTGTCGTTTGGACGAGTATCTAACGGCCTTACTGTATTACTGAGCTCAACCCCGTAGGTAGTCAATTGGATCGAGCCGGCGAGGGCTTGGTCGTGAATATTGACGTGCCACGGGGACTGTACTGGGGAATCTTGTAGTAATGAAACTCTTGGTTCCGGTATACTCAAGTATTACCAAAATGACTGATTGGAGTGCGGGCCCGGTTGGGGTATGTTTGGTGGAAGGAATGGAGTGAAGTGAGGTCTACGGTTGGTACTCATAAACGTTGACAGAGAGTCAATGAGATTGGATCAAGAATGTAAGCGTGGAAATGGGCTCTTGAGAGCCGTCCGTATCCTTTTACCGACTTGTTTTACTTCTTAATTGTGTATTTGAAATGAAAGATTATACTTATGTGATCTTTGTTGCTTATGTGGTAGTAACTCACTGGGCTTAAACTCATTCCGTTCCATTTGTTTTCCTTACAGGAAAATGATCACTTTTGGAAGGGTTGTACTAGCAAGTTGAGCTCATGTAAATGTATCTTTTGAATAGCTCTTCGAATGAAACCCTAATGTGTATAGGGTTCACTTTCTTTTGATTGGCAAACCAAACATGTATATTCGTAATGAATGATTTTTGATATGCCGCTTTGGCTTGAAAATGTTACTTTTCGATGTGTGTATGTTTGGTTGATATTTGGTTGAATTTCGGATCAACTCGTATTTCAAACGGCAAAAGCAAAATTTTGGCTACTCTCGGCCTAGTATCTGGATTCTGACGTGGCCGGTACTGTTCATCATCGGCTTCGATTTTCATTTTTTTTATTATTTGTGATTTTGATTTGTTTACGCGCGTGGGTATATTTCGGAACGTATTAGATCGACGTGAACTAATCCGTAGTTCTGGCGAGAGTTGGGCAGGCAGTCCGCTAACCCCTTTGGTTCGCCTTAGGGGAAAGTGGGGCTGTTACAGAGATGACGGGGGAAGGAGAGATAGGCCATCATTTTCAAGTTCCAAAAGCTTATGTTAATAAGTTAATAGCCTATATGAAATTAAATTGTATTTTCTCCTTAAAAACTTTAATACACACACACACAATTTAAAATATGTAAATAA